GTCTCAGCCGAAAGAGCACTCAGGAAAATTACTAAATTGTACTGTACTCCAAGCAAATATACACCACAAAGTAGGTAGGTAGGTAGAGTGACTGTCTCTCGACACATCTAGGCTCACTCTATTGGCTCCTCTCTGAACCACATCGTACTTCTGATGAAGTTCATCAGTAAGACAAGTTTTATCCTTGCAACCTCCGAGACGTCGTCAAGAAACGCTTGACCCCAGCCACCACGAAGAAAAACAGAAATAAGTTAAGTATTTAAAGTTGATCAGCTGTTGTTTTGGTGTTGCCAAGTGTATGTTGTTACGGTATGTAGTCAAAAACAAATTTACGAACAATTAAAAATGACAGCCAAAATGTGGTGCAAGTGCAAGTCGTACTCTTAGATATGTATGCACATTAAATTTTGTGTCTATCGATCGCAAAGCAAAAGGAGGGCAATGTGGCGCTTGCCGCTATGGTGCATTATCTGTTATTTTTATAAGATTTCACTCTTTGTGGCCCTTTTGTTTTTGTTATTATTTGCATCGTTCGTGCACAGCCGGTGCTCAAGCTCGTAATGTTCGACTATGCTGCAGACAATTGTTGTTTGAAACGAAGCAAAAATGTGAAAACAAAAATAGCAAATGAAATGTTTTATTCTACAATTTTACAAGCTTTGTGCAATGCGGCAGCGATGCAGCAGTCTTATAGCTTTTTGTATGCGCTTGTGTGCTGCTATAAGAGGTACGAGGTACATAGACCAGAGTGAGGGAGCAGCGAGAGGAGTGTTTTTAATGATGCGCCTTGTTGCATTGTATTGGTGCTGACTGCAGTGACTTCTTGACGTTGCGCTCCTCACAACGTTTTCTATGTTTACCAATTCCTTCCTTTTGCATTATTTTATTGCTTCTTGGTGTTTGTTTTTAGTTTCTCATAGTTATATCGAGGTATACTATATTTTCTGGGTCATAACAGTATAAATATACACACGCATGTTTGGTTCTCGCCATTGTGGTTATAATTTACCATGTTACACACTCGTAAAAACAAAAAAAAGTATCATTGCAACAGCTGTGTAAGCAATCTGCGATTATAGCAAGACGGCCAGGCGGCAAGCATTTGCACAAAAAAGTAAATATTAAAATAAAATTAATTTTACCTACAGTACTCTGTAGATAAAATTAGAACAACTAAGTTTAATATCTTACTGGACCTAAGCATACAGTACATAAAAAAAGAAAAATGTTTAATGAAAACAAAACTTTACTACTTTTAGTTTTTTATTTGCTGTATTTCTACGTATATTTATAATTCGAAACCCGAAAATAGAATACCAGAATCGACCAATAACCGCTCCTGTTTTTAGCCAAAGAATTTTTCATGTCATTTAATGACATTCAGCAAATACACATTTGTTATTAAACTTAAAAAAATTAAATATTTTTGCTTTTATTTTTCACCAAACACATGTCACAATATCAACCTAATTAATTAGTTTTTACTTTTTTATTTGTTTTTAATGAAATACTCAATTGTTCTTTTAGGCACACGTCCTTTTCTCACCAAGAAGCTGCTCATTTGCCTGCACCGCCGATATCGGACCAGTATAGCATAAAGCTGCCATACAAACTGAACGATCAAAATTAAGTTTTTGTATGGAAAACTTTTTAATTTGACAAGATATCTTCACGAAATTTGACATGGAGTATTGACCAAGGCAACAGTACAAATTTTTCAAATTGGACCGCTATAGCATATAGCTGCCATACAAACTGAACGATCATAATCAAGCTCTTGTATGGAAATTTTTTATTTGTGAAGGGTATTCTAGCTTCGGTTGTTTGTCTCTTTACGCATAAGTAGCACATACTACCGGTTTTCACTTTCTTTTCTCTATAAATGACATAAATCTGTGTTAATTTCAATTATTCTTATTTTTGCACTAGAAATAGATGAAGTAATCGTAACAATATACGAGCATTTGAAAACATTTACATTTCGGTTAATCTTCTTCAGCTGCTTGAAATCATTAAGGGTATTAACATAAACACACACACACACATGCATACACATTCATGTACACATATATAGATATATAAGTATGCATACGTCAGTTGAATTGCTGAAAATTGACACTTAGTAACAAAAATAAAAAAAATAAAAAATATCAAGACCCGGAAGCCCTAAACTCCTCAATTACAAACATTATGACCTTAAATAGATATAGAATAACCTACATATATACACAAATTCACACACACATACTTGTATTGTGCTTGTGTTTTGTGTGAGCGCATTTTCGAGCAACGAAAAAAATGATAAAAAGTAAACAAACATCTGGTAGGCACGGCAAATCAAACGTGAGGAGTTATAACAACAATAACAACATTGTGCAAGACTTTAATGTTCAGCTACACCCCAAGGCTCTATGCGATAATAAAGTCTACAATATTGTATTATGTACTTTTATGTTTTGACTTCATTTTGCACATTTCAGTGTTATTTTGATGACGATGCCTGGGGTAAACAATTTCCACTTTTTAAGTAAAAATATAAACGTGTTTGGCGCGTGCGTCTTTAAATACATATATACCATAAAGTCATTTCACTTTCTTCACCCAAGTTAAACAGATGGCTAACAGGAACATACAAAACTATAACTCGAAGTGGGTTGACAACCATTTGAGCGCTATTTTGAAAACTTTTTCAACATATAACGTTTTTGGCGGCTATAATAACAGCAACAAATATACAGATTTCTGATATTCTAACAATAAAACATAATAGATGGTTTGTATACTTGTGTAGCTTTAGTGTTATAAAAAGTATATATGTGTGGTAAACCACTTGATTGACTATTTTCTACTATTAGCTGCGCACAACTAAATACATTTCTATACTTCAAGCCGTCTGTCTGTATACACGCTCTTTTATCGGAACCTCCGATATTAAACCACTATAACGATCAAAATCAAGTTCTTGCGTGGAAAACTTTTTTATTTTACCAGATATATTCACAAAATTTATTCGAAATTGTTGTCTAAAGCAAGGTCGAACATATTGTTAAGATCGGTAGAGTATATCATACAGCTGTCATATCCACTAAACGATCAAAATCAAGATAAATATCTTAATGTGTCTTAGCACAAACAAAAATTCCTAACAACAAATTAGCTAAATACATTTATGTGCTTCACAAATTAAGTTCCAATACTTTATCATTCACGCATTTCAAATCTAGTGGTGCTATAGCTAATAGCTGCAGCGCATATGACAGTTCCAATACAATGTCCACTCACATTAAGAATTGTCTATATTTTGAGTAGCCCAACAATAATAACTACAGCCGGCATATACATATGTATGTATGTATGTAAGTAGCAACCAAATCGGTTTAACTGTAGAGATGGATGTGCGCGTTGAGCACTAACAATACCAGAAACCAAAACAAAAAAACAAGTGGAGCAAAAATACTACAACGTACATATATAAAAAATAACATTTGTCTGAATGCATGTGTATGTACGTGTATAAGTAAGTCAGCCAGCCACCATAAGCGCAATAGTGTCCACCTCCACCTTCCGTCAATGCTGGTACGCTTTTACCATCTTTGTATCCTTTTAAATCGTGGCTGAAATTGAACTGATGCCGGTTGGAATGTTGTCTGGCTTTAAACGGCTTGGCCTGGTTACTCTATGGACACACTCTCAACTTAACTTGAACCTTAAAGATTTTATATCACATTTTGTTGTGTGCCTTTTTGATGGGAATGAAGGCTGTGTTATTGTTGTTTGTTGGGTAAAAGATGCCGCCGCGCCGGTTGATGTTTTCCGTTTTGTTTTTTATTATTTCATTCATGAAAACGACAAACGTTTATTGACACACTTTTGTACACATGTACCGTTGCATACATATTTACGGTGGCAAGTGCTCTGCATACACGAGGACTATGCATAAAAAACACAAAAACACAAAATATTTAGCGCTCTATGTTTGCCCGTGTGTATGTTGGCAAGATTGTCTTATATCAGACAGTCTGTATGTCAATTTGTATGGTATATAGCAGCATGTAAGTTGACGTTGACCGCACAGCCCAACTAGGCACGCGCTTGTGCATATGTACGGCTGTTAGTAAGTACATGTTTATGGGTAATTGTATTCGAACGACTATATCCGTTCTTACTAGTACCCATGTAGTACTATTATGTAAGTATGTAGTTATTTATTTATATCTGCATTTACATATGTATGTATGCTGATGTATGCGTGTATGTATGTAGTTGCATATTTATACACTCTGTGGATTGTTTGTTTTCCTTTTGATTTCTGTCCGTATTATAAATACTCTTTTATATTTTTTGTTGTGATTATTTTGTTTACCTGTTGTTGTTGGTCGCGCCATGTTGCCCTTGCTGATGATTTAAGGCGGCAAATTTTACTCACCTCGAACGACAGTATGAATGAATAAAACGCGAGGGTACGACTCGACGTATTTTTACATATTTGAATACACACATACATACAATGTATATTTATTTATGTACGTCAAAGTATACATAACTACACACAACGTTGCCATGAGTAAGCGTTTGGGAAACCCCAACTAGAAAAGCATCAACGGCCAGCTAATCGTTTGTTTGTAGACAAAAAACAAAAAAAACAAAATGCCGCCGGTTGTAGCGTTGCCTGCTTGATAAGCGAGTCAGGAGAAGTGTTATTGGCACTTGAAGCTTTTATTCATATTTTCTAAGATAAATTATGTCAAAAATGCATATATTTATTTTGCACTTATTCACAAAAACTTTTTTAACTTCAGGTACATTTTCTACCGAATAAAATATGTAGAATAAAAAATACAATAGTTTTAAATGATTTAGATATGCCAGCACAAATAAACGCTAAAACTGCGAAACGCGGGCTCATTGTATATTCGACTACCAAATGACTTTCATTTAAGAAATTATATAAAACTAAGTAAACTTAATATATAATATATAAATTATTACTCCGCACTTACCGGTGGTGGCGTTCGATAAGCCTGCGACGGTCCTAATTGTGGGCTATATGGACGTGGTGGTGGCGCCCATCCTTGCTGCGCTCCATATGGTTGATGTGGTGGAGGCGGTGGTCCATGTGGTCCGCCTTGTTGTTGCTGTTGCGGAACTTGTTGCTGCTGTTGTTGTGGATCATAACTATTTGCGTAACGATGTTGTGGCGGCGGCGGTGGATGCGACGATTGTAGTAAAGAATTTAATGTGGGGGTCGGACCTTGCGGTGGCTGCCCGGGAATATATCGTTGCTGTGGTGGTCGACTCGGTGAGGCTATACCACCACCCGGTCCAGACGGTGGTCCTGGTTGTTGTTGTGGTTTGCCACTAGGAGGCGGCTGTTGCATAGGCGAATGCCCATAGCGGTATGGATCAATATTTGGATCGGGATGATGATAACGTCCGTAAACTGGATGATGCCCACCTGTAGGTGGTTGTGGCGGTCCACCCAAAGGACCTTGCCCGTATTCATCTTTTTGTGGATGCTCACCAGGATTTTGTGGGCCGCCAGGGCCTCCGGGGCCACCCTGCTGGTGAGACAAGTGTTGTTGTGGATGCTGCTGTTGATGCATATGATAATGTGATATTGCCGCAGCTGGATCACTACCAGGTTGTCCATATGAATGCGGAATTGTATGTTGTTGTGGATCACTACCGTTATTAGGTGCTGGTGGACCTCCACTGGGCGGTCCACCTCCTATGACTGAATTAAGTGGACCTGGACCACCAGGGCCACCATTTCCGCTACCACCAGTACTACCAGATCCAACTGGAACACTGGGTCCGCTTGGTGGCCCTACCCCTCCACCGCCAGCTGCACCACCCTGCCCAGAGGGTGATTTTATTTTCTCATTCATTACTTGTTTGACTCAATCCCAGGTGTATATAATTTTTGCAGTTGCTGTTGTAAGAGGCTTCTTGTTTCCTTCAACGGCCGCTGCAACTGCACTGCTGAATTATCTATGATAAAATATTAAAGGTCAAAAAAATTAAAATATTGGATTAAATTTAAAAAGAAGAAACTTCATTTGTAATAAAGATATATTTGACGGAATTCATTGATTATTTTAATTCGGAATAATGTCAGAAAAGAGAAAAATGCATGGTGATATATACTTTTGACGCTATAATAACAGCATGACTTTTGAGACCATTCGCCCAAACACAAATCTAAAAATTTCAAATGTTATATTTACTTAAAGAACTATCAGTTAGATATAGAATGTTGGAAAAAAGTTTTAAATTGATAAGATGGATTTGCCACTAGTTATTACATAGCTTTTTTCTTTTATTATGTTTACGTTACTTATATACATGGTCTAATATCTTAGTCCTAAAACAATTTATTCTGACTAAATGTTGTGCTTTTTGAAAGCTGAATCAAAAACAAATCGACATAACCGGAACCCGAAATAAGTACATATTTACAAAAGTAGTCCGGTCTTTCAAAATAAAAGATACTTATATAAATTTTACTAAACATAAATTAAGATATAGTTTTATATTATGTATGTATATATTTTATATAATTAGTGTGCTTATAATATAATACTTTTCTATATATTTTCTTCTTTCTTGCATTTAACTCACACCAAATGAAAACTGGTAACTTAATATTTAATGGTAAGTACAAAATATATCTCTGAAAATCATTTTTCATTAAAATAGCTTCTATTGCTGCTCAGTTCGATTGGTTTACTGTTCGTTGAGGCATGTGTATACTGCAATGCACCGAGTAGTTATGTATATACTATATTAATTCCGAAATTTGGTTTAATTGCCAACACCCCAAGTGCAAATGTGAATATGTATTATTTTTTCAATCGTGCTTTTTATAGTTTTTCAAATGTATTTACATGATGTGGCCGGTAGAAGGAGTAAATCGTTGTTATAGTGCAAAAAAAAAAAAAAGTCAATAAAATAAGAGAGAAACATCGGAATCAGTAGCGATTGACGAGGGCTTTGAACGATATAAGCGACACGACACGGCGGCGATATAACAACGTCAAACGTTCAACATTTATTCAACAACAACAATAAAATAGTAGTAGAAATAGACTGGAATACGATACGAAGAGAACGAATGTGAATCGACACAATATGGCATGGCTACAGCTAAGCGCAGCACACCACCCTACCGTGAGAATGCTCTTTCACTATTCTCCTCTAGACCGCTCAGCAACCCGTGACAACTTCTTTCAACCTACTACTTCTTCCCACTTTCGTAGTTGCGACAACCAGGCAAGCTGGTAGAAGACAACGGCTGTGGTAAACACGCTCTCATTCAATGGCTGTGTTCGTAACGTTGTGTTGTTGGTGTTTTGCTGTGTTATCGTGCCTTCATTATATTTATCTCTTTCTATCTCATTCACTATACGTATGTATTAAAACATACCGTTTTGCTTGTCACACTTACGACTGCAAAGCAGATACTTCTGTGAGACTTTGTGCAACGCGAAAATATGATTTTAATGGTTTTTTGGTAACTCGTATTTTTAATTTAATTTTACACAACACAGAGCACATTTTTTAAAATTTCACTTTCACATAAGGCAAGCTTATATATTTAATTAAATATATGCTGAATTTTATAAATTAATTTTCACGATTTCCAATGTAAAATCACTAATTTCCAACGCATTCGCTGCAAGCAACCGAGACAACGAGTCGAAAGTACGTACGTATATTCGTATGGTTCCCGGACTTTTTACTTTGGATAGCTTAAAACAACATATTTGCAGCAGCAGTCGGTTCGTTTTATACGTCGTAATATCGTAGTACTTAACAGCTCGTTGCTGCCGCGCGCACTCAGTGTTGCATTTTAATAGCAATACATGTGGAATCTTACTAACAAGTCATATTGTTTTTAACTAATATGGCATAATCTTTTAAAATAAATTCTTTTTAACAAAAAGAACATTATCTTTTAAAATAAATTTCTTAAGCAATAAAAGAAGCTTATTAATAAGTATTAAGGGCATTATAGGAACGGAAAAGCAAACTGCTGTAATTCTTCTACATAAATTTAATTTACCTGAAAACTAACTTTACTTGCCATTTAATTAACGTATTGTATTTGCAAATCGAAATAGGTATTTCTAGATGTGAGATAGTTTTAGATACTTACGCATTTATATCATCACTGCAACGTCGCGCATAAAAATATATATGCCCAAATATTGAAGTAGAAAACACTGTCAAATTAATATTCCTTAATCCAGCAAAATTTCCGAACGTGTAGAGTTCACAGTGCAATGCTGTTCTACGATGTTTGTGCTAAAAAGATGTGTAACAAAAACTGTTCGAATAATCACCAACAATCTGTATACGGCTTTTCCCTTCTACTTTGTCGCTTCTTCGTTCAGTTGTATTCACGATACACTCATGATTTTTCACCAGCAATTATCACCAATTCATACATAAACATTTCGAATAAGACAACAGCTCTATTTTACTTTGCTTTGTCTTACTTTACTTTTCACAATCTGCTACTTCCTATTATTCGTCGTTTTTGACTTTAATATCTGCTGTTTCTGTTCTTTGCGTACTTTGTTTTGTTTTTCGTTGTTCCCTCTACTCACTTTCTATGTATCCTACTCGTAGTCGGCTTTTTTATACCATTACTCACCAATAGGTGTGAGGGAGACATAAATAAGTACACAGTGATGATTGCAATAACAATTACCATACAGCTACGATGACCACCGTCGATGATTGCTTCACTTCTGCCAAGCGATGGTACTGCGAACGTTGTATTAAAAAGAAAACACAACGAGTTTCTTTTCTTTTGCTTATTATATCTGTGCCTTGTATTTATTTCGTCTGCTCCTTTTTCACTTTTCAATTCCTTAAACCATGCATTCGTCGATGACTTTTATTAGTGCGTAATGTCGGCACCAACTACTACTTTTATTCTATACTTAATTTTGCAATTAATGTGGAACGAGGGTAGTGTAAGCCCCGCTTCCAAGTTCTATGCTCCAAGCGATATCAAAATGATGACGAGGACTCCACCCGGAGGCTGTTCGGCAATTAATGTTTGCGCAGACGATTCTTTTTAATAATCCAGCAAATGGATGATGTATTTAATGGCAAGCAAACCTTGTGTCTAACTGCACCTGCTTATCTATGCATGTTTAAACTATGGGAGTATGAATTGTTTAAAAACGATTGCAAAACTATTCATATCCATTTGTCGTAATCACTTTCACATAAACTGTTAAGTTTTTCAAAACCAACTCAAATACACTGCTATATTTGGCTCACTTACAACAATCCCAGTCCATTAATTGGTTTCTCAATTTTCTATAATCACTACGCTGCTAAAGTCTTTGAAATTTTCACAGTTTTTCACGGGGAAAGTTGGAAATTTTCGATTTTCTTTTTTCCTTTATGAGTGGAATACACGAGACCGAAGAAACGCTTGGCTTTCGGGACACGAACAAATTTTTGTGTAGTCGTCTGAAAATTTTTCACTTTGCGATACGGTCCTTTTCTTTAAACACACTTTTTACTCAAACTAATAACATTTCGATACAAATTTTTCACTCCGTTTGTTTCTGCACCATTCAATAACATTTTTAACACTTTTTCGCCCTTTAAACTAATGTATTTTATTAAAATATTCATTCAAATGCATTACCCCGAAATACACGAATATATCAAAATGGCGCACGCTAATGGAAGTGTTTGCAAAGCATTGCCAACGCGAAATACCAACATGTAACCGAATGTGGAAGCTATTTATTTCGTTCTACAATCCTATATTATCGGCTTACCAACATAGCAATGAAACTTCCATATCCTACTTAATATCAGCCTTTGCTTAAATTTTTTTTACTACACTTAAACTTACATTACCAACTTATAAGATCTTGAAATAATATCAATCTTGGAATAAAATCAATAATATATTATGGTATTAGGGAATTTCATTATTTGAGCAATGTTAAATTTATATATTCTTTATTTAAATAGCTAAATAGGGCTGGCAGTTCTGAGTCGAAATTCCCAATGGACTTTTTGACAAGTGTGATGTTTGGTTTGAGTTTACTAGCTCGACATAAGTCGCAATTAGAGAAATAGCTTTACAGTAAATAATAACACCTTAAGGAACTCACATATTTCAAAGTATTATTTAAATTAGTGAAGCATTTCACAGTACACTCTGCCAAATAATAAAACAAAAAATGTATCAAGAGTATTTAAATCAGCTGCAATCGTCCATAGCCCCTCTCTCATCAGACGAACTCAAGGATTTACTCAACGATGACGAAAAGCTAGATGAGAAAGTGAGTGAAGTACTGGAAAACCTCAAAACACAAAAGGACGACTTACTCATCGAAAATCGGTCCAAGGCCGAGAGCAATATTGAAAAAGAACCCAGAATCATTGAATTGCGTGGAAAAGTAAATGAATTGATGGAGGAAGCAAAGGAGTCTTGTCAAGCTGTACAGGAGAAATTACTCGAAGTGAAGGAAAAATCGGGTAGCGTTAGTCAAGAAGCGGCTTTAGCGTTGATACAAACAGCTGCTGCTGAAAGCGAAGAAGCAACAGACGCTTTAATTAAACAATTCACAGACAATGAGATCGGCGTAGAGGCATTCCTAGACGATTTTCTTGTTACGCGCAAAACGATGCACCTACGCAAGCTTAAAGCTGAGAAAATGCAAGAGCTAATGCGCAGGCAAACGCAAACGCCACAACGTGGTAATCCTTTATTACCAAATAGTGGATTTTATCCGACACCAGGTGTACCTGGCATGGGTGTACCGTATCCACTAGGGCCAATGATGCCGATGCCACTACCACGCCCATACTAGTAAATAATGTCCAGCTATCAAGCACTACCTTTCGAAAGATTGCGATATATTTAAAAAAGGGTGAATTATGTTAGATAATCAAGTAGCAGACACCTTTAAACATAAATATCTCATTTTTAAATATATAGTATTGTTAAAATGTTTCGTAGTGATAAATGGCTACGAGTCGCAGAAAATAAATAATAATACATTTTTAGGCACTACTAAATAAAATTATTTACAATGAAGAAAATTACGCGAGATTGTTTTTGTATATTAAATATAAATACCAGTATAAAATGACTTTAAGGGCTTCGGTTCATTGTAAATTGAAAGTTTTATTTCTCAATAAAGTTTTTGTTAGTCTTATTAATATTTTATAAAATTGATCTCTTTTTGATGCTTAATTTCGAATTTATATTATAGAACTCTTTCAACACTTCTCTAGCTATGCTATTCAAAATCAAGTTCATTACAGCCATGTTTGGCTAAACGTACGCCTTTTCAGTATCTAAGTTATATATAGTTATTTGTAATTAAAATGCTACTAATTGCAGCAAATGCGGTAATACTTCCGTCATCATGACGAACCAAACTCATTCATCCACTTTTCGTATTTTTCCAAATCTGCTTTTGATACACTCTTATTGCATCGACTAATGGCTTCTGTGAAATCTTGATTCGAAACAGGAAGATCAACTTCCTCTGTCGCCAATTGTCGTATTTGTTCCGGCGTGAGACCAGCAATTTTTCGGCGCATTGACATCATACTAGCATCCCTAAAAGAAAAATATTAATGTAAACAATTACTTCTATATAATTTAATTTCATGTAGTCCACCTGCAGACGTTGGTAATGTCAGCACCAGAATAACCCTCTAATTTCTTGGCGATTTCCGATAAGTTAACGCTTTCGTCCACCTTTACCTCACGCAGATTAATCTTAAGTAATGCTTCACGTCCTTCATCCGTTGGCAACGGTATATAAATACGTTTTTCTAATCGACGGCGTAACGCTTCATCAATGTCCCAAGGAAAATTTGTAGCAGCCAATACCATAACGACCTTCGTAGCTTCTTCGCTGCCCACCCCATCCATTTGCACCAGCAGCTCTGATTTCACACGGCGTGAGGCTTCATGTTCCGATTCAGAACCACGCCGCGAGCAAAGTGAATCAATTTCATCGATGAAAATTGTACTTGGCGCATAGAATCGCGCCATCTCGAACAACAAACGTACCATTTTCTCCGATTCTCCACGATATTTAGATGTAAGCGTTGAAGATGATACGTTGAAAAATGTTGTGCCGCATTCTGTTGCCACCGCTTTAGCTAACATTGTTTTACCCGTACCCGGAGGACCTACCATGAGTACCCCTTTCCACGGACGTCGGATGCCCTAAAGATATTTCATAAAAAAAATGTAAGCACAATGTGAAAATTATATTTCAGATTATTACACACACACTTAGATCATTACAACAAAGCAAGTATGAGTCACTCTCAGGAAATTAAACACAGCTCTTTTTTAGATTATTTTGGTATTAGAAAGCTTGTTTTTTACCTTAAAGTAGTCAGGCATAAGCATCGGCAAGACGACCGCTTCCTCTAGTAAACGTTTAGCATCATGCAGGTCGGCTATATCGTTCCAACGCACCTTAGGGTTGCGCTGCAGTATATCACGTTCTTATAAACAAAATAGTTTGTCTGTTTAAATTTAAAGAAAAATAAAAAAAAAATTTATACTCACCAAGTATATCCACCAGTTCGGCTTCCATGTGTGTACTGGGTTGAAATTTCTTTTCCTCCTTTTCTTCATTTTCCGCCGTCTCTTCATCACGACTTTCATCGTCTTTGTTACCGACATTATCGGCACCAGTTGCCGCATTACTATTAACTCCATTGCTTGAATGCAGTGTTTTTCTGCTCGATGTTGACGACGTTGATCTTCCATTCTGTTGCGCTCGTGAATTGTTTCCACCGCTCCCAGCTATGGTACGTCTAGTAGCGGCACCTCCTGTGGTATTACGTTGTGGTATTATGCTCTTGCCGGCGCCAGCAGTAGCTTTTTTGTTCGGTATACCACTACGGCTTCTATTTGGCACTGCGGGTCTATAATAGATAAGTATATGCTATTATAAATGTGTGGCGTTACAATCTCAAAATATATACTTTTCCAAGCGTGGTGGTCCCCAAACATCTGGATCTTTAGGAGGCGGAGTCCAAATGTCGGGATCGGGTCGAAACCAAGCTGAAGGATCTTTTGTTTCATCTTCACTGACTTGTGTTTTCAATTTATGTGCGAACGGTGTGTTCTGCAAATCTAGTGTCATTTCTGATAGAGTTCGCTGTATGGCTTTTATTTGCGAGTATTCTTTTTCAAACTGCTGAGCTATCTGTGCAATCAATAAAATTATTAAAATTTTTATTCATATCGAATTGCATATAATAACTTACCAACTTCCATTTACTTTTACGCAGTGAATCGTTCGTAGATTTAACCATTCGATCTAACATGCCACCTAGTCCCTCATAATATATACAAGCAGAGTCATAGTTGCCGGTATAGGCCATGTCACGCGCCAGCTTTGCGTTCTCACATATTTCCACTATTGAAGTTTTGGCCATCACGGTCATTCCTACACAAGATTTTGTCTTTTGCTTCCTACCTCGTAATAGCTATACCACATTAAAGCACGCAAGCATGCAAAAAAAATTAAATCAAAAGGTCATGTTAAGCAAAGCGATGGTGACAGCAGAGCAGCGTCATAAACCGAGCCAATATACAATATCATATAACGGCAGTGAGCCACCACCAGTTATATTGCGAAAGTAAATAAAATAATAAAAACTTAGTTAGCAAAAATGGAAAGTGAGACGGCAAATAATAGTTATAGCAATAAACATTATACACAATTAAAAAGAAACTTTTTATTGTTCAAATTTAATTGATTATTTATAAATGGAATGTAATTATTTATTTTCAATCATTGCAAATTATTTATTTTGACTCATTGCAAATGATTTATGTCCCCACCCTTTAATTATCTACCTTTATTCTATCTATTATGCCTAAAAATAATCATCAATTTACTTTACTTTTTGCTTTAATGACTTTGCTGCCACTATTCGCTTTCGTCTTTGGATTTTCTTAAACTATCTTTATACGGAAGTTGCGGAAGTATTCCGATTCTACTTACGGTTATTGACATTAGATCGCGCCTTTTTCATACACTTCTAACTTTAAAACGTTTATTACTATCCTAAGTTTACGAATTAAGGCCTATTTTTAATTTAAACCGAATATTTTATTATATTTATGCCGTTAAATAAACGGGTGTAATATTTCTTCAATACTTGTCTTCTCGTTTCTCTTTTCTTATGCTTTGCCTTATCTTCTCAGAAAATGTCAACTGCCATTGCTAACAGTGTTGCTTTTCTTTTTATAGCAAAAGATTTTTTTTTCGTTGGAATAATCTATTTTGCTTTTACCCGGATACTCCATGTTACAATATTAGTCCTATATGCATAAACTAAAACTGATGTTTGATGTTATGTTTCCAATAATATCGCTCTGCAGTCAACAAATCTTCATAATTTATAATTCGCAATGCATTTACTTATATTAAACTAATAATAAACGATAAGCAGTTCACATGCCAGTATTTAAGCACGGGGTTTAAGTGCTTGAAAACACTTTATCATAGCAAAACTGACATCTCTAACGATTAATTCTTTATATCGAACCCATATGACATTTTTGGTGCACATTTTGGACAACTTTAATTCTTTATTTACTGTAAATAAAAGGATATATCCAGTCTTACAAACTCTTCCGATTGCTACTTGAAGATATATTGAAATGACACCTTTAACACAGGATGGTATAGAGGAAGCATTCGTTAGTGAGGCGGCACTGCAGCAGGCTGCAGCCAATGTTAGTACAAGTAAGTGCTTTATTATGGTATATTGGGTGTAATTATTAAGTGTTTGTCTGTGATTAGATATAGCCAAGGGCATATATGATGTATCATATGTTGTGGAGCAAATGGGTTTCGCTCTAACATCAACTACCTTAGAACAACGGATTAAAGGAACACAGCTTTTATCCAATGTGCTTCAACAGTTGCCAAAAGATCACCTTAATTCGAAACAAATCGAGTTCCTTACATCTTTCTACACGGATCGGCTAAAAGATCATCACAGTGTGTTACCTGCTGTGATTGAGGGCATACATGCCTTATTGGAAATGACGGAATTGGCCGCAGAAAGTGTACCGAAAATTTTTAACACATTTTTTAAGCATAGCAGTTGTCAGTCACATCAACGAGGCGAACGTGGAAAGTGGTTCAAGATATTGCAGTTGGCTTCCCAGCGATATGATAAAGGTAGTTATTTTAATATTAACTCTATCACTTAACTCCATTAGTATGTTTCGTTTCTTGTAACGTAGAACTCAAGCAAATGGGTGGCGATTTCATGTATGGTTTGATAAATTCCATCGATGGAGAACGTGATCCACGTAATTTAGATTTTATATTTACTTTTATGCCAGATTTGATCAAGCATTTTTCGCTGTTGCATTTGGCCGAAGAAATGTTTGAAATATTTGCTTGCTATTTCCCCATTGATTTTACTCCGAGCCGGGAGGACCCTAGTAATATTTCTCGCGACGAGTTGGCTGCTAAATTATCGGATTGTTTGGTGGCATCGCCGGAATTCATTGAATGGTTAGTACCTTTGGCTTTGGACAAACTGGAAAGCGATTTGATAGAGGCCAAATTGGATTCGTTGGAACTTTTGGTAAAATTGTAAATTTTATTTTTAACTAATATTATCAACGACTCGTAAAATTACAGCGCAAGGCGGCAGTAAATTTTACAAATAAATCAATATCGGATCATTTCGATGTGATCTGGACATCGTTGAAATCGGAAATTTTCCCAGGAGCCGGTAATTCGGATATTGTTTCCGCAGGACTTGTTCTATTGCGAACCATTTTGGAGCAGGCCTATGAAACGCCAGATATCAGTCACAGTTACCAAACCAAGGTGCTAGGTACAATTTTAACTCATCTAAGTGACGTCAATCAACGTCTGTACAATCCATCCACGGCCATCGCATTGGTATGTGTCGCCGGCGATCCACTTTTCGCTGGCGATCGTATACTTAATACCTTTTTATTGAAACTAAACATACAATCCACAATTGGTGATGGCGAAGGCGACAAGGTAGCTGCGTACAATGAAGAGCAACGTCTTAAAGTGTACGCAATTGTAGCACAGCTATTTAAAATAGTTTCAATACGCGATTGTTTAGAGAAGCTCAATCGAACTACATGCGATCAAATTCATGCGGATATTATTACAATACTACGAATTAATATAGACGCTGATGTTCAACAACAAAATATTGATTTAAAAAACTCCGCACTAAGCGTATTGACCGAGAGTGTGCCATTAATTAGCGAAAAAAATCGTGCCCTCCTCTACAAAGTACTTATACAGCTAATCACACACGACTCACTCGAGATGGAGTGCATAGAGCTGTTGGAATTGCTGGGCGCTTTGTATCCAATTGAAATGCAATCCAACTGCATTGATGTTTTAATACGAAATTTTGCCATTTATTCGAATTTCGTAAAGCGTAAAGTATTCCAGCATTTGTTGCGCCTGGTCATACATGCGGCATTCACATCGCGAGTACTAGATTTAGTATGGCATTATGCATTCGGTCAAAATATACCACAAGATGTACAATTGTTAGCGCTTGAAGCGGTTAATATGCTATTGAATAGCGACGATACACGTCTAATCGTCGAGCTGCAGAACAATAATTGTCTTATTGCAAAGCTGGTGGAGTTGGCACTGGGAGCGGTAGCTCTCAGTATACCTGCTTTAGAACAAATCGCCACAGCAATTTGTCGTATTGAACAACATTTGTCTATTTCCGAACAATATGTAATTGCCACGGAATACTTACCGCAGTTGAAATTACAGTCTGCCGCACATTTGTATGTCGCCAAAGGCCTGCTGGGTCGCTTGCATCAGGACATTAGTCTGGATGAGTTTTTCGAATGGCTGCTCACCGAGTTGACGCAACAATCGTTGAGCGCTAATCAAGCGGGTGAAGATAAGGAGAAATTGCGTACCGTTGCATGTCAGTTGCTTTGCAGTATGGTTAATCGCATGGATGACAATGAACAAAACCATAGTAATTTGAATAAGATACTGTTGTTACTGAAGGACAAAATAAAAGAAGACAACACACTGGCGGTGGATACTTTGGCGTGGATGACCAAAGGCCTTATTGTTGCTGGTAGTGACTTGGCTGCTGAAATTATTGAAACCGTGCGTACTTTGTATCGGAAAGAGTGTATAATTTCATAAACTACCAATTTGTTTGCAGCTTACAGAATTGTTGGAACATCCTATCCTATGTACAGTTGCAACACGTGCATTTGAAGTCATCGCAATGGAGTGTGAACAGCTGTTTTTGCCAAAGGTGAAAATCCTATACAGGCAGAAGCTGTTCAATACGGTTTTAGCGAAGCTGGGTAATAAGCTGAATGCACATTCCGAAAATTACCTGATTGCTTTTATTTTTGTGCTGAAAAGTGCACCGCACACTGTGCAGCAAATGAATATTGAACAGGTATTTAAATCAAGTTTTATTTTATAAACGCTAATTTATTTAGCTGACCGATTTCAGATTGGTCCACTGCTTTTCAAATCGCTGGATTGTGATTACACGACAATGCTTTACATCTCACTGGACATTTGTGGACGTTTTGTTGCAATGCGTGATGAGTACTTTCTTAGGCATTTGGTTCATTTAATACCGAGATGTGTACAGTTGTCCAAATACCAAAAGTCTATGGTAAGTACAACGGCAAAATTTTTTGTAAAAATCGCCCTTCACTAGAACTAATCCCTCAGTTTTTGAGATATCGAGCTGAAATTTTGCACACGTTCTGTTCCCTACAAGAAGCTGTTCATTTGTCAAAAACGATATCGGACAACTATAGTATAGCATATACCTACCATACAAACTGAACGATCGAAATTGTTCAAATCGTACCACTATAGCATATCGCTGTATTACAAACTGACCGATCAATATCAAAGCTACAGATCTTTTTATACACTTTTATGCTATAAGAAAAGCACCTGCGAAGCGTATTATACAATAGCTTCAGTGTAACCGAAGTTAATGTTTTTTCTTGTTTTTCTTAGCCATCATATAGCTATTATACTGATTTTCGCTGATCAAGAAAAAGCGAATAACTTATAATAATAGATCTTACTATACAACTACTCAAGACTACTTTATGTGCCCTTCACAGTGGAGCCATCAACACCTTCACCGACTCCCTCTCGGTGAATGGCGTCTAGAAGTCAAACCACCACCCATAGTAGACGTAGAGTTCGAGTTGCCTCGTGAATCCAGAGTGACCCTCGCGCAACTTCGTTCTGGATATTGTAGCAGGTTAAAATCCTACTTATCCAGAATAGACCCCGACATACCAAATATATGTCCAGCGAGCAATGAGTCTCCGCATGATACTAACGACCTCTTTGCATGCCCAACGAACCCAACTTATCTAACACCCATTTCCCTATGACTGATCGACCCAGTCGAAACAGCTCGTATCCTGGGCCTCCCGTTATATGACCTCGACAACAACCAAACTATAACTTATCACCCAAGCGGGGACTAGGTAACCGTTACAACAACAACCACTACTTTATACTCGGTTCCGTTCGTCTTTCTAACTCATTTTCATTTAATATTTAATTCAAGGCTTCTAATCCTTTGCTTGCAATTTGCAGAAAGTTCGAATATACGCTTTAAGTCTGCTACACGACATTACCAAATATCCGACGCATGTACTGTTAACACATAAAGTGGATGTTGTGCTGGAACTGGCAGCCGCACTGGACGATCATAAGCGCTTGGTTCGCAATGCAGCTGTACGTACGCGGAACGCTTGGTTCTTGGTGGGCACAGACGATGCCAATTAATGCATGGACAAGTGGATGCTGCCACATTCAATAGGAATAAGCGTCCTTGATTGTGTTGTTTTTGTTTTAGGTTCGATATACATCAATGTTCACGAAGACAAGTACAATAATGTAGCAATAAACTAGATAAACAGCGGACAATTTCATATGGACATACAATATATACATATGTACATACTATATAGATGTACATGTATGTATGTTTGTGCGCACAGTGGTTTTTAAAAATTAGCAATTTTAATTTATAACCACATTTTACAAGGAACTGAAAAAAAATAAACTAGAAAACCAAAAAAATAAAACATTGTTTTCTTAATTTTATTTTTGGGCTAATTACTTCAACGTTTATTCGTAAACGATAAGATGAACATTATTTTGTTTATATTGTTGTTACGAGAGTAAGTAGCATTTCAAAAACGTGTATACTTTTGCGAAAGATCTGGTAGTGTTGTTTGTGGATGCAATAGTTGGAGTCCACTTCGTTGCGGTACCATAGAACCGACTGTTATGGGAACATACATATATGCATATGCAGGTATGTATTTGCTCAGATCGTTTATATGATTGTTGCATATGTAAGTATGTATGTATATATGTATAGTTATATTATGTATGTTTTGTACATGTGTGCATGCATGCTTAAGGCTAATACGGATGGTCACACAGCGAACGTGCCATAAGCGCACATTTTTGCGCGCGCTGCACTACGTCGGGACAGCGTTGCTTACGTACCAGGCGACAGTCTTGAAAGAAGCCTTCGTTGCGCGGAAAGCCATTTGTGAAATCGCGAAAAGTCAGCAATCCGAGTCCCCAGATTTTGCCACCACGAAATTCACCTTCGAATTTCATGCCATCGGAACGCCAAAATATGCCATGACCATGGAACCAACCATGCATAAATTCACCTTCGTATCTAATAACACGATTAATAAGTATGAATACGAATTTTCAACATTTTTTAAACATTTGCTAGCTCACTTAGCGCCATCGGAGAACCATAGACAACCGAGGCCATGACTCAATCCATCGGAGAATTGGCCGTCGTAGCGTGTGCCATCGGGAAATTGTAAATGACCAATACCATGCTTCTGGCCGCGCTGATCCCATTCACCGATATAACGTGTGGAGTCCTCATACCGCCAACCACCAACTTTTACAGCACCAAAGGAAGTGGTGTTTTCGTTGCGAGCGTGATGTGCGCCACCGCCACCACCGGCCATCATACCGCGATTCACTTCACTTACGACACCTACGAGAGTGAAGTTAACAGTTAATGGTATTCAATATCAAATAAGTGTAGGCAAATGTGTTCCTATCCATCTCACTTTGATCCTCGTAGTCGTCCATGCTTCTTATTGGCTCTTTTGTGGAAGGTATTTATTAATTTTTTATTGAATTGTTTAAGTAAAATGCAAACTGCAATGAAAAAGTAATGTAAACTGAATGCTAAATGTTGCTGGAATGGAATGCAATGAAAATACACTCAAATTCTTAGTAGAAGCGCTACATATAACGCGATATGCTTTTGTGGCCGTTAGAAGGGGGCTTCAACTGCAGGAGAATGTTGCTGTTGAATGCTTAAGCAGGCCAGCGGGCATACAACTATTCTGGGCCATTAATTTTTAAAAACGATTTTTTAAAATATGCTGATGAATATAGAATATGTAAGGTAAGCATTTTATTTTAATTTATCTGTAACACCTTTTTTGCATATGCATGTTTATTTCTAACTGTAAGAATAACGTCTAAAAATTTTCAAAAACTACGTAAAATCGTGTTTACCCAAAACTATTCAACAAGATAACTGGTAATATTTTTTAATATTATTTTCATTTAAAAAAGATATATTAAGTACGTTTAAGCCACTTCAAACGGTTTCTGCTGTTGCACGCGTAGCGTTTTAGCGCATTCCACATGTCTACTATACACACGCCTTTTTTCGACTTGTTTGGCTTCTTGGCACAGCTGCAGCATTGAGTGCTTTTCCAAATCCAAATCTAATTAACATATTTTGCCTGGAAATTGTCAATATTTCGACCAAATTTCTTTGCTTGTGCTCATTTCTTCAGTGTCTACTAGTCACCTCGCTTGAATGTCAAATCTAAACGTTCAGTATTTAGCAGTTTACTTAATATGAGTGCCGTTGAAAGTAGTTAGCGTAAAGAAAATATTTATAATATATTTTACTAACGTACGAATATTTCGCTTGCTTTCTTGATTTTGCAGTGTTGCAAAGTTTACTAAATTGATTTTTGTCGCTGACTATGCCAACTAAAAACTTCTTGTATACTATTTAGATGGCTTTTAATTTGTTTGCAAAAATATTTGCTGCAACAACTTCGACTTTGCGTTAACTGGGGTCATTTGCCGTACTTTCGTTAACCAAACAACTAAGTCCATATACCAAATATATACATATACATATGTAGATGCAAGTACAATGCCAACAGCAACAATCCAACTCAAAACAATATCGGTGTACAACTCTTAGTTTATAGAAACTAACAAAAAAATCTTAGGGAAATTATTAAATTGTGTTCTTTTAAGTTTAATTAATTTTATTTTTTATTATATATTCTTGTACATTTTACTGAATTTCAAAATTTCTGCAATTATTTAAAATGATGTGTCACATCCTGCTTGTTATTTTAATAAGTTTGTGTTACGAATACAAAAACAAAATATTAATAAGATAAAGTATTACAATTATTGAAGTTTATTAAAGATAAGTGAATAATGCTTTGACACAAGTATTCGTAAATGTAAAGTAGGTATATTTAAAGAATATCATAATAATTATATGTATGTGCAAAACAAGTATACACATACGTATGATGCGCGAGTGTTTCACAAGTGGCCTTAAAGGTATACAATACAATTTATATGCAGATATTCACTATGATTACTGATAGGGTTTTAAAGAATTTTTTTTTTTTGAATTTTTAGTTTTGAATTGTAATTGGAAAAAATCTTTAAGTATGTATGTATATGTGCATAACTATAATATAATATAATTGCAAATAAATAAACAGCAAACTTCATTCCATGCGTCGCTGAAAGTAATTAAAAGGACAAAATAAAGAAAATTGCTTGTTTACAAATCATGTTCATGTAAAATTGTTAGTGTTTTATAGTTGAAAATTCTATTAAAATCTTAAATTTTTTGTTTCTTTTTTTGTAATAATATTTTTCTTTTTTATATTAACTATACGCCCAACTCCAAATTTTCTACGCATTTCATTTGCGAATTTCACATCTCCAAGAATTTGCCGCTCGGTGAGCAAAACTTACACATACAAGTACATGGTGGATATATCTGCTTTTGTGGGCAAGAGTGTGTGCAGGAGTTTTACTAAATGAATGTGCCATAAGACTTATGTGTATTAGCTGCTTGCTTACTCGTTCAGCTGTGAAAATTTTTTGAAAATAAGTTATAAAGATATATATTTCAATTATATATATAGGTGTATGTGTGTACATACCCACTTCCGCTTATACGTTTATGCGCGGCTTCTTTTTACAGCTTCTTCAAATAGGCAGCACACTTTACCGCACTGCTGACCTGCCCGGTATTGAGGAGATTCAACTTCTTATGCTTTGCACGGAACTTCCTCACATAGGCGTCAATCAGATTCTTGATCTTATGAGGATTAATTTCGCCCGAACGACTGTGACAAATCTGCGCATGTGTTGCAATTAGATGATTATTAATAAATAAAACCGAAATGGAAAATCTTGTATTTTCATCAAGTTTAACAAACCTTTGGCACAGCTCGACGCATAATCTCCTTGTAGTCATCTTTTGTGATCTGTTTCTTATTGAAACGTGGCTTTAAAACCAATTTGACTTCTTCAACAACACGCTCCTGTCGATTCAGCTTACGCAAAAACTATTGATTTAAAGTAAAGAATGAAAAAAATAAATAAAGCGGTGAATATAAAAAAAAAAGTTTTAAGGATATTTTCAGTACAATTATAACAGAAAAATCCTGCATATTTATATTTTTTTACTTCCGATGCTTGTTTTTCGAACGTAAATCGCGCTGTGAATACGAAAAGCATTCGGATGCTGCATGAAATAGTTGAAAATATTGCAGACGTGTTTTGGGGAGTCTACTTTATCACAAACACAAGTATAAATTCTGTGTAAATGCTAGAAAGTTCTGAATCTATTGCAACGTTTGACTTCGATTAGCAGTCGAAAAAGAGTTGCTTGACTTCGTAGTTGTGGACCGTACATTAATCAAACGCATCATTACTGGTGACGAGACGTGGGTTTATGCATATGACGTCGAAACTGACCAACAATCTAGCGAGTGGCGGTACAAAACTGAGCCAAAACCAAAAAAACCAAAATTAGCTGAGGGCACGAAGAACCATTCCAGGTGAGGCTTATAAGAAAAGTGTGGGAAAAAGGATTAAGCTTGGCATGCATATATTGCTTCAAGAATATATTTTGAAGGCGATAATAAAGATTTGTAATAAAATATGTATTTTTTTTTGTCAGTCCGGGTTATATTTGATCATATGGAGTACCGTGACTCTTTGATGGGAAACGTATAAATCTGGTTTAATGGGTTTCAAGGTAGCCTCAAGCAATTGCATTGCAAAAGCACACGATTACGTATTGGCAGACCGCCGATTGAAGGTGTGCGAGATAATCGAGACAGTAAGTGAGTAAGTCGGACAACAAGCGCAACCGTGCGACCACTACACACCAGAAACCTAGAATCAGCCGAAACAGTACACTACGCCCAGCAAAGATACTGAGCGGAAGGCTACCTAAAGAAGGGAAAAGCGGTCACAAGGCTCAAGTAAGCCGAACTATTGGGCCTATTCCTATAAAAGTATTTCTCAGACGGAATAAAGAAGTTGGTGCATCGCTAAGTCATGTGTACTAAACATGTTGCACTTTCACACTTTTACCTTCGTAGCCCACAAATGTATGCATCGTGAATTGAGCATCAAATAACGGAATCATTTTGAAACTGCGGGTATTTTATTTATAATATTTAGTAATAAAATTGAGAAAATCGATACAATATTCTAGAAAATCGAAATTCTGATCGAAATATAAAATTTCTAGTTATCGCAAATGCAAAAGGAGCAA